CCAGCTACCAGTCCTACTTCAAGACCATCGAGGAGCTCCAGCAGAAGGTGAGGGGCATGGCTGTCATCTTGAAGCAAGAGAGTTTGCTGTGATTCTCCGTCTGTGATAGAGAAGCGTGTTTCTTGCTTCTGTGCCGTCATACTTCTTGCTTCCTCTTTTATTTCAAAATGGCTTTTTATGTCATTTTTCAAAAGTTGATGGTTTCATATTTATTTTCAGTCCTCACTAAGCAACCTCTCACTCCCCAGATCCTGTGTACCAAGTCTGAGAATGCCAGGCTTGTGGTGCAGATTGACAATGCCAAGCTGGCCGCGGATGACTTCAGAACCAAGTGAGTTGTTTGGAATTCGCACTAGTGTCCATTTCTTCTGTTCAGTCTTTAAAGAAAAGGGATTTCCATGGCTGTACTGAAAAACAGACCTACCCACCTGTTGTGAAGGATTCTGCAGAGGGTTGGGGAGAACCAAGCAAAGAAATCACAAAAATAGATGAGGACTCAAATCAATCTGTTTTGAGATGAATATTGGGTATTGATGGAGCCTCCAGAACCCTCTGTCCCCTGGGCCTATTCATTGCAGAAAGTGGAAAGATAAGGCAAATGAGGTTATCAAAAATCATTCCTATGAGTCTTGAAGATCTACCACTTAGTGCTCTGACCCTGTCCTTGTGCAGGTACCAGACCGAGCTGTCCCTGCGGCAGCTGGTGGAGTCGGACATCAACGGCCTGCGCAGGATCCTGGATGAGCTGACCCTCTGCAAGTCTGACCTGGAGGCCCAGGTGGAGTCCCTGAAGGAGGAGCTGCTGTGCCTCAAGAGCAACCACGAGCAGGTGAGACTAGAAATGAGAAATGCGCAAACCTGACTCTGCCTCTAGCTGAGGGTGGTTTTAGTGAATTGGGACAGCAGAATGCAGAGTATGAGTACAAGGCTGAGAGTTTCCTTTAATAACATCATGGCAAAAGAAAAACTGGAGAGAGACAAGACCTATTCATGTTCCCAGACAGGAAACATCTTTCACTTGAAACAAGCACATTATCTGAGTTGCCCAGAGCAGCTCCACATGCTTGAAATTGGTCAACAGTTATAGATTGAGTCCTACCATTGCTGTGCAAAGTCTTTTTTTTTTTTGCCAAAGGCCAAGAAAAAAAATTAAACCTTATAAATGCAAGTCTCTATTCTTTTAAAGTATTAGTGAAGAATGTTTGTGAGCTTCTTCCTCTCTCTCCTGGGAGGGGCCGTGACATGCTGTTACCTCTTAGTTGATTGCAAGAGGTTTTTGATATACAATTTGATATACAATCTGAAATTGTACAGCCTTTTTTTTTTTTTTTTTTTTTTTTTTGCATTCTGAGGTTCTCTCAACCAACTATAAACTGGTAAAGCTGCACATCACTTAGTTCATCCTTCAGTGGCATCCAAGCAAATCTTTGGAAATTTTTTTTCTGAAGCCAAGTGCCATGGCATAGCAGATGGTGAAGAGGGGGCTATGCTGCATGGAGTGCCTTGAGCTGTCACAGACTGCTCCCCTCAGAGTTTCTTTTCTGAGAAAATAGACTAACAGGGCTTCAACAAGCAATGCCATTCCTTAGAGTACATTCTTTGCTCAGGATAGTAACTCTTGTATTTTCTCCTTCAGGAGGTCAACACCCTGCGCTGCCAGCTTGGAGACCGCCTCAACGTGGAGGTGGACGCTGCCCCCACTGTGGACCTGAACCAGGTCCTGAACCAGACCAGGAGTCAGTATGAGGCCCTGGTGGACACCAACCGCAGGGAAGTGGAGCAGTGGTTCGCCACGCAGGTGAGCATCTAAGCATGTGGCCATTCAGGGCTCAAGGCCCACCCTAGGGCCCTGGAAGCAGGGTCTGATCCTTTTTCCCCTTGGGTGTTTCAGACCGAGGAGCTGAACAAGCAGGTGGTGTCCAGCTCGGAGCAGCTGCAGTCTTATCAGGCGGAGATCATCGAGCTGAGACGCACGGTCAACGCCCTGGAGATCGAGCTGCAGGCCCAGCACAACCTGGTGTGTATTGCTCAGCCCTGCTGGTGAGCGATGGGACTTTGGGAGGCAGAGTCCCAGGGCTGCCCTTGGGACCACATGCTCTCCTTAGCTCTTGGAGCTGTGACTTCCTTGAAATCCTGTGAAGAAAGGCTTTGAAGGAACAGCTCTCTGACATTCCTGATCTTCCCCACCACAGCGAGACTCTCTGGAAAACACGCTGACGGAGAGCGAGGCCCGCTACAGCACCCAGCTGTCCCAGGTGCAGAGCCTGATCAGCAATGTGGAGTCCCAGCTGGCGGAGATCCGCGGTGACCTGGAGCGGCAGAACCAGGAGTACCAGGTGCTGCTGGACGTGCGTGCCCGGCTGGA